CAGATGCTCACATAGACAGAGCCTTTAGACATTCATATACTTTTCACTTAACTATTGGCTGTTTAATGGTGTATTCTTCTTTAAATTATAGAGCACAACACTATTAAGCAGCGACATTAATCACGTAAAAACAGAACAAAACGTGTTAGGAAAAGGCAGCCTCTCCCTGTGTCTTTGTATACAGCCTAGCTCTGCCACATGAAGTCATTTTTTTTCCTTGTGTTTCTAGGGACGCTCTTGGATATCATAGCAGGAAGGAGCATCCTTCACTTGGGAATTGTGATGTGCTGCAACTGTTCCTCGGAAGCAGTTGGAGCTTGGGAAACTTTATCATTTTCTGTGTCAGCCTGGTGCTTCCTTAGACGGTGAAGCCCCTGGCAGCAATGCTAAAGTGTTGGGCTTATGCTTTGGCAGCCTGGAGAGCTTGGAAAAGAAGGTGAGTGAAACTGACCTCGCAGAAATAATCTCCCAAAGATTATCTTTTCAAAAAATGTTTTAAAATTTAATAATTTTAATTGTTATTTCACCAATGGCCCGATATTTCACGATGTGATGCTTTTAGGGAAACATTCTTATTATCAGCAGCTCAAGTGTTTTCCTTTGTTCCTAAAGTCTTTGCCCCTCAGCTCCCCTTCTGTTGTTTCTGGATCAGGAGTTCTGGTAGTCTGTTGAAGCAGTGACCCTGTCCGCACCCGCTAATCCTCAGGATCAACTCTCAGCGAGGAAAAGACCTTGTGTGATCTTCAGAGAGATTAGGCAGAGGAGGTTTAACCATAGTGTGAATGCAGTGCCCAGAGCGGCATGGAGAGGAGGGGGGTGGTCTTGTGTCCTGGAACTCCACAGCTGTGCAGTGCAGGCAGTTTGAAGAACCAGACCCCAGATACCCACCTTACACCGTGGTGCGGATAACAGAGGCGGAGATGAGGGCCTATCACCGCTTCTTAGGAAGCTGCATCAGCCTGGAATACAGGGCAAAAGAAGGTAATGGTGGCTGTGCATTTGCTGTTATTTGTCCTCTTTGCCAGTAGAGTATGGCTTACCTGAGAAGTTTCACATTAAAAGAGTTATTTTATAATCATGTTTCTCGTTAAGGAGTTTAGAAAGGAGTCTTAAAGGAGTACCGATTAGCTATTCTAATGCTGTAAATAGTCATTTATTGAGATAGGGTCACAATAAAAGTAGACGATCAGAACCGGGTTGCAAGGTTCAGGAGGGCTTACTTTCAAAGCCCAGACAAGCGTGTGTATCTATAAGTGTTTTATATCTATATGTGGTATAAATATCATCTACCAATGTGATAGATAATTGGTTCTTCATAGGTAAAGGGATGGTTATTTTAAAGTTTTTGTTCAGTTGTATTTTCTATTTTAAAAGGAACTGAATCGTATTGCTTTTATATAATGAAATTAAGAATTAAGGAGGGCCTTCTCTCAGTGTGTCTGCCATGGACTTGGAAGCCAGCAATGCAAATACTCTTACCTGAAACACTTGTTTCTTAGGCTGCTTCTACCATGGAGGGCCTTGCTGCTGGGCCTTTGCTGTTCTCGTGGAGGGCCTCTCTGTGGGCCACTACTGTTCTCAAGGAGATCCTTACTTATAGACACCTGCTGCTGTAATTGAGGGTCTCACTTATAAATCTCTGCTAGTCCCAAGGAGGGACTCCATTATGGGCCTCTGCTGTTGCTGTGGGGGCTAACCTATGAGCATCTGCTGTTCCCATGGAGGGCCTCAATTATGGTCCCCTACTGTTCACAAGAAGGGCCTCATTTATAGGCCCATGCTGTTTCTGTGGAGGCCTCATTATGGGACTCTGTTGTTCCTATGGAGGCCTCACGAATGGGCCTGTGCTGTGCCTAGAGAGGCCTTACATATAGGACACTGCTCTTGCTATGGAGGCCTCATTATGGGCCCCTGCTGTTCTTATGGAGGACTCACTTATGGTAATCTGCTGTTGCAGTATAGGCCTCACTGATGGCCTCTCTTGTTCCTATGGAGGCCTCAGTTATGGGACTGTGATGTTCCTAAGGAGGCTACATGTATTGGCCTCTGCTGTTCCTTATGAGATCTCACATAGGGGCCTGTGCTGTTCCCAAGGAAGGCCACACTTATGGGTCTCTCATACTTCTATGGAGGACCTCACTGATGGACCTGTACTGCTCCTAAGGATGACCTCCCTTATGGGCCTCTGCTCTTCCCATATAGGGCCTCATTGTGTTAACCCCATTGGTTGAGTATAAAGCCATCATCACAGTTTCAAGGCAGATTTGAAGCAAGCTTTAATTTTATAGTGCCCAGGAGGATACACTCTGCCCATGTCCATACCCAGTTCCCAGGAAATGCCCCCAGATCACATTTTACATGGGCTTAAAAAGGCCAAACCTACAGTTTACTACATTTCTCATCAGGTCCAATCAGGTAGAGGCATACATCCTACCCTATTTTGCCTGCGTACTTCCTGACTATATCCAATCAAGGGCATCCTGATACATTTCCTACCCACCTACGTCCCGCTCACATGTGATCAAGCACATCGGTTGTGGATGGGTCAAACAACGTCTTTAGGGAGTGGATACATGTGGCTTATTATTTCTCATAAATAATAGCCTCTAGCATTTCAGGAACTACCTGTCTTTGAGCAAGGTGACTGCAGATCAGGGGCATTTTGGTTTCATGGATCTCTTAGGCATAGTAATTTAAACTTAAAATTTAACTCAGGCTTTCCTTCCTTCTACCTTGAGTTATACACTGTATCAAATCCTGGACTCTGTGAGAGGGACCTGTATATATTAGGATCTAATAACCATAAGCTTAATGGTACCCAGACAGGACTTATCACTTAGTTAAAGCATCAGTGATGTAAGAGTCAACAGTGATTAGCAGAAACAGAAGATCCAAAGGCCCTGTGATGGCTGACATCAGAGTCACTATCTAGAAGGAGCCTGGAGATGAGAATGGGGACCAATTATTTATTTCATTTCAGGTCTCCTTTTTTGCAGTGCTTTTGTTGAACACACCCAGGTTATCTCTAATAATCCCTGAGTGGTTTATATAGAAACAACAATTTTCTCTTGAAGCCACACAATAGCCTCTGTTTTACATAGAGCAGGTTGAGTACCCTATAATATTGTAGAAATGTTTCAGCCAATGAATTTACCTGTTGCCAGATCTGGGTCTATTTGGTTTTAATAGGTGCCTTTCCCGACATGCCAATAGACACTGTAGGTAGCTACTTTGTCTCCTGTGCCAGGTAGTATTCTTTTGATCTAACATTCCAGCCTATCGGGGGACAAGGGATGATTCTCTTCTATAACTCCTTCCTGCTGAAACTAGGACATTGTTGTCAGGGCCCAGGAGGGCTGGAATGCTACTCAAATGGAGGAAGGAATTCAGGCAATGGAGCACTCATCAGAAGCATCTGGTTTGCTGATCCAGCTCAAGACAGGGAGCGATCAGATTGGTTGGATTGATCCACAGTTGTTTGGAGCAGGTTGTAGTCAGCAGCTGATGCTTGGATGGTGTCTGTCAGCTGAGTGGAAATCTGCTGAGACAGATATAGAGTAGGGACAGAAGTTAAAATTCAGGAATATAAAGGAACATTTTTGTCTTAGGGCTTCTATTGCTGTGAAGAGAGACACCATAACCATGGCAACTCGTATAAAGAAAAAACATTTAATGGAGGCAGCTTACATTCTCAGAAGTTTAGTCCATTATCATCATGGTGCAACATTGTGGCAAGCAGGCAGACTAGGTGCTGGAGAAGAAGCTGAGATTGGAGAAGGAGCTATGTCTTGATCTCACAGGCAATAGGAAGTAAATTGAGAGACTGGACATGGCTTGAACATATATGAGACTTTAGAGCCCACCTCCACAGTGACACAATTTATCCAACAAGGCCACAATTCCTAAGAGTGCCACTCCCTTGGGTGCTGTGGGATGGTCTGTATGTCAAATGTGTTGCTCTGATTGGTCAATAAATAAAACATTGATTGGCCAGTAGCCAGGCAGGAAGTATAGGCGGGACTAACAGAGAGAATTGAGAGAACAGGAAGGCAGAAGGAGTCACTGCCAGCCTCTGCCAGGACAAGCAGCATGTGAAGATGCCGGAAAGCCACGAGCCATGTGGCAAAGTATAGATTTATAGAAATGGATTAATTTAAGATGTAAGAACTAGATAGATAGAATCCTGAGCCATTAGGCCAAACAGTTTAAATAATATAAGCGTCTGTGTGTTTATTTTATAAGTGGGCTGTCAGACTGCTGGGACTTGGTGGGAACCGGAGAGAAAACTCTACAGCTACACTTGGGAGGCATTTATTTTCAAACCAGTACAGTCTTACATTGGGAACTTTCAGGACCCTAGTCCTAGTAGTTAAGTGAAGGGAGGAGTACCAAGCCCAGAGAGAGAGACAGAATGAGAGAGAGAGAGAGAGAGATCACATCCCTAGGACTAGAAAAGTCAGGAAATGTAGGCAATATTATCTGAATTCCTTTTGATCTGTAAGAAGTGGATCCAAGTCTTGTGACTTCCTTGGTTCTCTGAAAGTTATATCAGCTTTTTTCTTTTCTTCTTCTTTTTTTTTTTTAGTTTACAAAAAGTCCTAAAGGTTTTAGATATATTAGCATTACCAATCTGAAATCTGTATTGTAGAAAAGTCAGTAATAGGTGTCTACAAAACAACTGGAGTATAACTCACACCTTTGAGCCCTAGAAAAGCTGTAGATTGGCTTAAAAAGTATGAACATTTTTTTTCCTGTCTAGAGAGCCAAATATAGCTTGATGAGAAACACCTTAAGTCTGTACTTAGAAGACAATTAGAAGAAATTTAAAATCTTGAGCTTGTGCCTAAACACTAAGTAGATCCTGGTAAGCTCATGAGAATGCCGAAATCCTAGTATAACAATAGTTTAGAAGGGGAAACAAATCAGAACCATTCCCCATTTTTCTCATGCATTAAATCACTTTCTTTCACCTTTACAACTTGCATTTACACATCTGAAATCATTTTCTTTCTTTTTTTCTTTTTTTCCAGAGCTGAGGACTGAACCCAGGGCCTTGTGCTTGCTAGGCAAGCGCTCTACCACTGAGCTAAATCCCCAACCCCTGAAATCATTTTCTTAGGCCATCAGAACTTACATAGACTCTTGTATCCTCAGACCTTATATACCTTAGGACATTTTCTTAGACCCTCAAAACTTGCATAGACTTTTAACCCTTTTCTTTCCATCTAATCATTTACCAGAGACACAGTCATTGCCAATCACATTCCTTTAGTGGAAAGTTACATCTGAAGCATGTTTATCTTTTAATATGAAGCCTGTTAGCAAGGCAAACCTGTCTAGCCTTTCTCAACAGGAGACCTAGTGGTTCTAGAAAAATCAAGGCTTGATTTTTATATATGAAATCAGCTAACAAGGTGGCTGTAGCCTTGGAGAAGAACTTGGTTGCCTGCTGCTGCTAAGCTGACAAAGACATAGTCAGCCTAGCTGTCAATACCACCAGAGATCAAGGAGGATAAATGACAGTAGAAAGTATAATCCAAATGTCCTGTGTATCAATTAAAATAACAGAGACTAGTCCATTACCCAGATGGTCATATCAGGCTCCTGGTCTCATTGGCATTAGGGGCAGAAGTACCAGGACAGCATCAGTCTTCAGCCACCAGACCCAATAGATGAGAGGCTTTTCCTGTGGAGGAGAAATATGGTGGGGACTGACCTTACTTTGTCTAGGCAAAGGGGGGCAATGAACTCTCACTGTCCTGCTTGTCCACAGTTTGGGCTGGGTTCTGGTGGCTGACGCAGCCTTGGGGCAGTCTTTCCAAGTGGTTAGCATTACCATGATCCAGGTGGAGTTTTCATGGTGCCCTATCATCTTCTTTGCAGATCTCGGGGTCACTGGTGGGAGCTGTGGGTCTCTGTCATGCTAAGCTTTTTTCATTAAACATTTTAATACCATATTCATCAGATCTCTGACAAGTTTGAGGACCATTATCTATTAAGTATATCTGAGGTAAACAAACCTAGGCTTAACCTTATAAAACACATATAGGAGGCTAAATAAAGCTCTTTCCTATAATTAATTACATTAGTGCTTGGCATGACTACAATTATAGTTCTGAACATATTAAAGAATTTGATCCTTTATGAGGTGGCTATTTACTTGCATGTCTTAATCATCTTTCACAGTTTACAAGCCAGCCTTAAATAATGACAATTCCTGAATTGAAGCTCTTTTTAGTATCAAATAAAACTTTGAACTCATAAACACAGTCCACAGAGAGACTGGGAATGTTTCTGATCCTTTGATAGTGCACTGTTACAGAATATAACAGTTTTTTTTTAATATGATTCAGTTTATCAAAAATAGCTTAAGCTTAACAAAGTTAGGAAAGACAAGGAGGCTAGATGTACATTCTTAAGCATGAATAGACCCTGGGTAAGGAGTAACATTCTCTAAGCCAGTGGTTCTCAAACTACCCAATGTTGTGATCCCCTCCTCCCCCAACCACATTTTTCTTATGGGAGGCCCAGCTCCTGGGCCTCTGCTGTTTCTAATGGGAGGCCCAGCTCCTGGGCTTCTGCTGTTTCTAATGGGAGGCCCAGATCCTGGGCTTCTGCTGTTTCTAATGGGA